TTTATACGTTTCAGAAATGTTCCATCATGGAGGAGTTTATCAAAAAGTCTGTGGAAAATGAAGAAAAGAGAAAAATAAGACAGAAACACATTAATCTTAAGGTGCATATTCTTAAACCAGATGATCAAGAAGAGAACTTTATCACAGAAATAATTAATGTATTTAAACGATAGAGTATATCGCAGCCACCACACTTGGCTGGAGTTACGTCCTGCTCCTTATGTGGGTGGCTAGCATGGAAGCCGCTTCCTTCAGACGTCTTCACCTGAGGGCAGAGCTGAATGGTTCAGACCTGTCGACTTCACTGGGTTTTCAAGTGGGCACCCCACTTCACCGGTGTTTCATCAACTAGCCCATGACACCTCCATGAGGCTTGACAGCAGAGCCAGCATCCTGGAACTGCTCCCTCGGTCATTCAGGACTATACCACACCGCTCTGACCCCCGCCCTCTCTGCCAGCCTGGTTTAGCCACCGCTCGCTCCTCTTCAACCACAGCCATCTGGATGCTGTTTCTGCCTGCTCTGCTATCTTGTTCACTAGGTTCTTGCGGGCTGCCCCTCTAACCCCAAGCGTCCCCAATGCTCTCCAAAGTGACTGTCCTGGGAATCCCCTGCAACCCACCTCCACCGGTAGATTCCAGGCTCTCCAACCCCTCTGCTGGCTCTCAGTGATGAGGGACTGATACTTCCCTAACTTGCGTTCATGTGCTTCCTCAATCCTTTCCTCCCAGGGTACTGTCAGCTCTATTAGGGCCACCTGTCTTGTTGCCTGGGACCAGACCACTATGTCTGGTCGGAGGCTGGTCACGGCAATTTCCTCTGGGAACTTGAGTTGCCTCCCCAGATCAACTCTCATTTCCCAGTCCTCTGCTGTCCCAAGGATCCCTAAACATCGGTCCTCCTTGCCTGCCTTCTCCCCAGGCCTGAGGAAGCAAATGAAGCGGGGACCTCTATCTTGGCCCTTGGTTCTTTTCCGCTTCCTCTCCTTTTCCAGTCCCTCTGCCAGCTGTGAGAGCACCTGATCATGGCACCACCTGAACCTCCCTTCAGTCAGGCCTGCCCGACAGGACGACAGAATGTGCTCCAGGTTTGCCGGTCTCTTGCACAGCGCACAGGAGGGATCCTCTGTCAGTCTCCATCTTTGAAGGTTTGTTGGTGTTGGCAGGACATCATACACAGAGCTAAGGAGGAACTTTATTCGATGCCCCTCCATATTCCAGATGTCCTTCTAACTGATGGCTATTCCTCGAACACTTCCCCACCTGGTCCAGCTGCCTTGTTGTTTCATGGCTACTGCCCTGGCTTATCTACTCTCTTCCTCCACAGCCCGAATCTCCTTCTGCACCATCTCTTTCCGGTCCTTTGCCTTTGCCTCATTCCAGCTTGCTCGGGTGATGACTCCCAGGCCCAGTCTCCCCTGGGTCACCGTGCCCATGATATCCGCATGCTTTAAGCGCTCTTCCGCTTCCCTCAGAGCTCTGCTGGCTTTCCACTTTCGCCCCGTTTTCACTACGATGTTGGCCTGTCGCACAGCCTGATCGTTGCTGTCGCGCAACATCATCGCCAACCGAACTTTGGCTGTCTTAAATTCCTCCACGACTGATGTAATTGGCAATTGCAACTTGCTCCCTGAGCTGTATAGCCCTATAGAGCAAAAACTTTTGGGGACAGACAGCCACCTCCTGAGGAAGTTATTAATTTTCCTTTCCAAACCCTCCACTGTTGTCAAGGGGACCTCATAGACAAGCAGTGGCCACAGGAACCTTGGAAGGATGCCGTGTTGGTAGCCCCATACCTTGTACTTGCCGGGCAGGCCGGTCCTCTCCAGGGCCTTCAGCCATTCTTCTGCTTGGTTGAGCATCTCCTTCACGCTTGCTTTGTCAGTCAGGTCAGCTCTGTACCACCTCCCTAAGCTCTTTACTGGCTTCTCTGAAACTGTTGGAATGGTATCTTCACCGATCTTAAACCGGAAGCGATCCTGCACACGGCTTCAATACCAAGCTTCTCGATTTTGAGGGTTTGAACTCCATCCTAGCTGCTGTGGCGAGCTCTACCAAATCTTCCAAGATCCATCTGCCCTACGGGACTGACCTCGCAGTTATTGTCAGGTCGTCCATAAAGGCCCTAACTGGGACCTGTTGGACTCCACTTGACAGCACAGCTCCCCGTCTTGGCTTTTCCACTAATTTGACGAGGAGATTCATCGCTGCTGCGAACAGAATCACAGAGATGGTACATCCGGTCACAATTACGACCTCCAATCTCTGCCAGTTGGTAGTGAAGTCACCGGAGGTGAAGCACATCTTGAAGTGCCCAAAGTAGTTCTGGAGGAACATCCGAACCTTCTGGGGGACGTGATAGGCTCTGAGTGTGTGATCGACCAACTTGTGTGGTACTGTGCCATAAGCATTCGTTAGGTCAAGCCACAGGACTGCTAGATCTCCCTGGTTCCTTTTTGCGTCCTCGATGATCTTAGAGATGACACTGTTGTGCTCGATGCAACCAGGGACTCCAGGTACTCCGCCTTTCTGTACAGAGGTGTCAATGTACTTGTTATTAATCAAGAACTGGGTCAGCCTCTTCGCCAAGATTCCGAAGAACAACTTCCCCTCCACATTCAACAGCGAGATTGTGCGGAAGTCTTTCAAGCTAGAAGAGTCCTCCTGCTTGGGGATGAAGCAGCCCTCAGCAATAAGAAAACTGTCTGGCAGATGGTTCTTCCTCCACACTACCTTCAGTAGCTTCCACAGACGTCTCCTCAGCCTCTCACAGTTCTTATAAACTTTGTACGAAATTCCATTCGGCCCCGGTGCAGATCTTTCCCTTGCCTTTCGGAGGAAGTCATTGACTTCCTGCCATCTGGGCTCTCTATCATCAAAGGAGATGGTCGGCTCCTCTGGGCTGTACAGCTTTCCTTCCATGTCGAGTTCTTCCTCTCGCCTTGGGTCACTGTGCACTTTACGGAGGTGCTCTTCTACCTCCTCCTTTGGGGCCTTTAGCACTCCTGATCTTTTTGCTCCAAGGAGCCCTGACATGTACTTGAAGGGGTTTTTTGTGAACTTGACCCTCTCCTTTTCCCGCCTCCTTCTATCCCTTCGCTGGCACTCTGCTCGGCGCAAGATCTTTATGCGCTCCCTAACATCATCTCGCATCTCTTTAATAGCAGGTTTTTTGTCCTCGAGAGCCTGCCTAAAAATCTTCCTTAGTCTTCTCAAGTCGGCTCTGAGTTTTAATTAACAAAGAGCACACAAAATCATTCAGGACCACAAATTGTTCCAGTTTAAAATATAAAAGAAGAGGATATTATATTTTCCATTGCAGAAGATCTGGAAATGTATATGAAAGAAGTCACAGAGCTGTCGGGTGTAAAGCATACCTCTCTTTTAAAGTGAGAAATGATTGGAAAGGACACAAAGTTATTGTGCAGAGAGTATTTGACCAGCACAATGGACATGATGTTTCTGTAGAAGATGGTCATTTTCATCAGATTCACCCTCAGCTGGTGGATGAGATCAAGAAGTGGATCACATTAGGCGTAAAACCAGATGTCATCCTCCTTCAAGCTCATCAGTGGTCAAAAGCTCATGGAGAAGTTAATTATCATTCCAGAGAATATTTTGTTACACCAGAAGACATACATAATGTCCGTACCTGTATGCTTTGAGGGAAACATCTTGATAAAGATGATTATAAGAGTACAGAAAAACTATTAGCTGGTAGCCTAGAAATCTAGACACACCCTAGCGGCAGCAAAAATTATTTTGCTGCAAAGTGTGGTCTAGCAACTCTCCATAGACGTTTGAGCTGGAAAACCCCAACTCCGGTAGGGCCAATCACATCGTGTATAAAGTCGGAGGGCGGGCTTAACATAATTATGACAGAGTTGCGAACTTGCGACGGTCAGAGCAAGCTCGGACATATCCGGTTTGAAGTCGTTCATCCTCGGATGCGGCCAGCGCCGCGCGCGCTGTTACAAAAAAGCTGTGGCGAAATGATCAACTTGTCATATTTGCCGCCCGCGCTCGTGCTGTCACGTCGAGTATAAAGGCTTTACTCCGTGTCAGCGCGCGCTCTGATCGGTATAGGTGCACGGACCTCTCCCGAATCATCTCCAGCAAGCATTCTCTCTGATATTATTTTTTTTAATGACACACTGTCTCTTTCTCTCTCATACACACACAAACACACACATACTGTCTCTTTCTCTCTCACACATATGTTGGCTAGTTATAAACTCTTTAGACTTTTAATGATTAGTGTTTTATTTTTAAAGTTTGTGGGTCGTGTAAAAAACCAAAAAAAAATCCCTTATTTTGGGGATGGATTCCGGGAATTCTCCCTTATTTTCAATGTTCAATGTTGACAGCTGGACTGGATACGGTAAAAGTTTAATATATCAACTTGCTCCGCTGAGTACGTCACCGTCTTTGTTGCTCTGATTGGCTTTAGCGCTATCCAATTGCGTGCAGAGAGAATTTGAAAGACAACCGTTTATCCCGCCCCTCGGATTGAGCCCTGTCAATGAAGAGTTTCCAGACCTAACATCTTGATGTAGGTCTGGCATGCCAGGCTAATTAGCTGGTCCTTTAAAAGATAATGTTGTATTTTATCAGCCACTGGGTAATGATCAGGATCTTATAATTGTTCTCTAAATGGAGTGCATGAGAAAAGACTTACAGGACCATGGGAGTAACATTGTGTTTTTTGATGCCACACACTGTGTGAATCAATATTCCTTTACACTTTTTACACTGCTTGTGAGAGATGACCATGGTCATGGAGTTCCTGTTGCATACATAATAACAAGCAATGAGACACAAGAAACCCTTAAGCTTGCACTTCGGAGGCTACGACCTTTGTTCCCTAAGCCACCAAGGTAATTTATTAAGGAACTGATCTATTGGGGGATCCAAGGTTTAACAAGTTTACTTACTTTTCTTTTTCTTTAAAGGTGCTTCATGGTTGACAAAGACATGAGTGAAATAAATGCTTTGAACGATGTTTTCCCTGAGTCTGATGTTCTTCTTTGCTGGTACCATGTACTCCAAGTAAGACACTTTTTTCCCCTTAAATATATTGATTCATAATGTTAATGATACTTGCATAATCCGTTACATATGTTCTGGTTCACAGGCCATTGTTCGGTGGTTGATGAAGTCAGATTCCAGTGTTAGTGGGCCACAGCGTTCAAGTATCCGGAAAGAAATTATTGATTACTTCAAAAAAATGAAAGCTTGTCCTATGGTATTTGAATTTTATATTTTAATTGTTGCAGTTACAATATGAAGAGTTCAGATGCAAAAGCCTCTAAATGCCATTTGAAATTTTCATCTTTAATGATGAGTTTTATCAAACTTGTATATTTAAGTTCAGTAATTTCACTTAAATAACAATTAATAGGTAATTATCATTGCCATTAAGTGAAATCACTGAACTTAAATATACAAGCTTGATAAAAATGATCATTCTAGAAGAAAATTTCAAATGGCATTTAGAGGCTTTTGCATCTGAACTCTTCATATGTACACCTAATGTATACCTTGACAACCCATTTTTAAAGGCATGTAATTTTTTCACCAAAAAAATGTTTTTTTTTGTGATGTGTGCTTACCCTAATGTTGTTTCAAACCTGTTTGAGTTTCTTTCTTCTGCTGAAAAAATAACTATATATATATATATATATATATATATATATATATTGAAGAATGTTGGTAATTAAACAATTGATGATCCCTAGTAGAAAAAACTAAACAATTAAGTCAATGGGTGCCGTCAACTGTCTGATTACCAACATTCTTCAAAATATTTTCTTTTGTGTTCAATAGAAGAAAGAAACTCATAAAAATTTGGAACAAAATGTGAATTATCCCTTTAAGTTAGAAATATTTGAATTGTATTACTATTTGCACCGTAACATTTTTGACCAAGAGGCTTTTTTTCCCTATGCATTGTGTAGTTTTCCATTCACTGTATCACTGTTTTTAAAAACCACAAAAAAAGCAAAATAAATAATTATACATATTAAGGCGCTTTTCCACTGCATAGTACGGTACGGTTCGGCCCAGTACGCTTCGACTCGGCGTGGAACAGTTCGGCTCGCATTGCGTTTCCACTGCAGTAGTACCCCTTCAAAGTGTGTGGGACTGATCGTTATTTGCGCGCGCCTCTACTGCCATGACATCATCTTAAAAGCGCCACATTTTCAAACCCACAACACAGGAACAATGGAGACTATCGAGGGGATGGTGTTCCTGATTCTCGGTATGTGGTTGTTTTTAACTGCTAGACGGAAAAATGTGTTTAAAATGAGGCTGATGGCAGCAAAACAAAAATACTGCTAGAAAAGTGTCTCGTGTTGCAAATCCAATGACGCTAGTAGTGACGCTGGTAGTGACGATTCTGTCTGACCAATCAGTGATCTGCAGTGTTTCACGTCACATTTTAGTACCGGTACGGTACGCTTGGAACCTCAACAGACCAGGTACCATTTAAAGCGACCTGAAGCGAACCGTACTGTACCGTACCATGCAGTGGAAAAGCACCACAAGTGAGCCGTACCGAACCGAACCGTACCGTACTATGCAGTGGAAAAGCGCCATTATACAATATTACCAAGCTTTTATATTGTTACCTTTTTTTACTTGCAGACTCACCATACCTATTTTTGTTAATTGCAGAAGGCTGACTTTGACAGAATGTCTAAACAATTCCTAAAGGAATTTTCTCACTACAAAGAGCTTTGCAATTACTTCCAGAGGTACTGGGAACCAATATGTCATAGATGGGCTGACTATGGACGTTGTTATAACCATGGTAATTCAGAGACCAACAATTTAATAGAAAGGTAAAATAAGACCCTATGGAATTTAAATTGTTATTAAAGACTGTAAAGCAGAAATCATTCACTGTCATTCCACATATAATTATGAACTTGTTTTGGGACTATAAATTGTTTTTTTTTTATTCAGGTTCTTCCATCGACTGAAATACCAATTCTTATCTGGGATAAGAAATCGGCGTTTGGATGACTTGCTTGACGTCCTTCTTTGCAAGACGGAGACTTACTTTCAGGTGATAAAACACTTGCAATCAGCAGGAAGAATGGCAAACTGTGTTGCCATGAAGTTGGAGGAAACATTAAGCAAAGCAACTAGAATGATGGAAAAAGGCTGGATTGACCACATTACAAGCGAATCATCGGAAATATATGTCTATAATGTGCCATCCGAACAAGACTCCTCACTTTCCTACAGAACCTGCCCAGCGGAGTGTTTCTGCAGTTGCCCTGTGCACTGTAAAAAGTGAACAGTTGGATCTACTTCAATTGGTAACACCTAAAAAAATTAAGTTTTCTCAACTTAAATTATCACATTTTCTCAACTTAATTTTACTAGGTCAATCACACTTAAATTATTTGAGTTCATTCAATCCTATTATTTACATTAGTCTGACTTAATTTCACTGCATTCCAACTTAAATTTATTAATTTTTCCTACAGTTGGATCAACTTAAAAAAATTACTTCAATTGGTAACACCTAAAAAAATAAGTTTTCTCAACTTAAATGATTTTATTTTCTCAACTTAATTTCAGGTCAATCACAGAAGACTCAAATTGCTGGAGAAATATTTATTAACATTAATTCATTTTATACGCCATCGGTATTTTTTTACACTTTTGTGCGCAAAAAAAACAACAAAAATAACGACTTTATTTCAACTATTCACTTCCTTCTCCATGCGCCAGTAGTCGGTTAACGTAGTGTGATTGCGTAGAGCTATGTCACACGTAGGCTCACTATTGGCCGACGCTAGTCATGTGTGTGTGATGCGTGTGACGTACAATAACAGAAACTTGCGCTATTAAAAAGTAGTAACCTGACTTGCGCAGAGGGAGAAATAAACGAATAGTTGAAATAAAGTCGTTTTTTTTGTTGTTTTTTTGCGCACAAAAGAGTTCTCGTCGTTTGATAAACTTAAGATTGAGCCCCTGTAGTCACTTGGACTATTTTAACGATGTCTTTAATGACTTTTCGAGGACAGCAAGAGCCAGTCCCTCAAGAAGCCTACGGACTGTATGCAGGAGCGATCTTAATATCTTAAATATCTTAATTTGTGTTCCGAAGATGAACGAAGGTCTTACAGGGTTGGAACAACATGAGGGTGAGTAAATACTGACAGAATTTTCATTTTTGGGTGAACTAACCCTTTAACACCGAAGTTAATACTATTAACTAATATGGAAGCAATATTAACTAAGCAGTAAGTAATAGGTAATTTAGTACAAAGGTAGTTCCTTGGTAGGTATTTGATCGTTACTCAAAAAATATATCCTCATTGAGAACTACTTGTGAACTAAGAATTAATAACCAATTAATTACTAAATCACAAAAGTAACATATCTAAAAAGTGAACAATTATGGGGATTTTATACTCTTAACATGGATCATAACATTTCAGAAGCATGTGCCTCAAATGGGTTCTTTGTGGAAACCAGTTTATGAAGTTTATATATCCCCCCAAATACATTAGCTAGGTTGAGATTGTGACTACTACTCTTGCCAGGATGGACGCATGTTCTCTGTTTATTTAAAACTTAAACATAAAATAATACTAATAAAGACAGTTTTTAAAAATAAACCTTAAATAACTAGGAAGTGATGCTGACACTCTCATGATTGGATTAGTTCACTATTATAACTATGTTACAGTAGCTGCCTGAGGAGGACTTCTCTTTAGGACATGAATATAAACATTGATGTTCACTTGTCAAAAACAATTTGTATCTTTAATGAAGAAATTTGCTGCATTTATGTTACAATAAGCGCAAAACCACATCTTCCAGATTACAGTGTTTGTTGTAATATTAGTACCTCACAGAACCTGTACAGTATGTGTAATTAAATAACTTGTGTAAACATTGCGGGATGACAAGGTAACGCTTGTAGTTAGTTAGGAGTTAACATGTTTTTCACTTTAAAATAATGGGCCACATCACTAGTAGTTCCTGCGGGATGACAAGGTAACGCTTAAGTAGTTATTGAGGAGTTAACAGGTTTTTCACAAATGATACAAGTTATTTAATTTTATATTTGACACATACATACAGGTTCTGTGAGGCACTAATATTCTAACAAACATTGTAATCTGGAAGATGTGTTTTTGCGCTTATCGTAACATAAATGCAGCCAATTTCTTCATTAAAGATGCAAATTGTTTTTGACAAGTGAACATCAATGTTTATATTCATGTCCTAAAGAAAAGTCCTCCTCAGGCAGCTACTGTAACATAAAGTTATAGGTCTTTGGAGTCTGAGATGTGACTGACATTAAATAGAGCTCATAATAGTGAACTAATCCAATCATGAGAGTGTCAGCATCACTTCCTAATTATTTAAGGTTTATTTTTAAAAACTGTCTTTATTAGTATTATTTTATGTTTAAGTTTTAAATAAACAGAGAACATGCGTCCATCCTGGCAAGAGTAGTAGTCACAATCTCAACTAATGTATTTGGGGGGATGTAATATTCATAAACTTGTTGCCACAAAGAACCCATGCTTCTGAAATGTTATGACCATGTTAAGAGTAACCCCCCCCCCACACACACACACCCCCCCACAATTGTTCACTTTTTAGACATGTTACTTTTGTGATTAGTAATTAATTGGTTATTATTTCTTAGTTCACAAGTAGTTCTCAATGAGGATATATTTCTTTAGTAATAATCAAATACCTACCAAGGAACTACCTTTGTACTAAATTACCTATTACTTAAAGGGCACCTATTATGGAAAATTCACTTTTACATGGTGTTTGAACATAAATGTGTGTTGGCAGTGTGTGAGCAAAACCACCCTAGAATGATAAAAATCCACCCAGTGTTTTTTTTACAATCTCAATAAATCATATGCACTGCCTCAGAACGAGCTGTTCTGAGATTCAGCTCTTTGTGACGTAGAAAGGGAGACAGGGGGTTGATTGACAGTGTGGCTGTGGCCTAGACCCCGCCCTCGGTGATCTGTACATCCTCCATTGTTTCAACGACGACAGCCGGTAATGTCTCTTGGAAACATAAGTGTTCTGTCGTGGACTCGTGGGTTAATTCTGTTGTAGTAGCTTAAAAGTTAATCCTCAACTGTGGATCGTCATCTACTGTTTGCGATCCACCGTCACATCCAGTAACAGTAAGTGTGTTTTATGATTTTTGAGCAAATAGTTTTTTCAGTCAATGTCAGCCAATTCAACAACAAATGCGTCTAAAGTTGTTGTCGTTGTAGGATGTCTGTGTGTAGGCTATATAATTGAAACCTTGTTTGTATAGTGTGTAACCACACGTTTATATATATTTAAAGATATTGTATTAAAAACTGCATATATGTTGTTGTTCTGTATGTTAGCCATCTCCTCACATTTGCCACAGAAGCACCCGTATGACAAGTAAACATGACGCCACAGGTCCCCGTCCCTCGAATAAATGTAATTTTGCTTGTACGTAGCAAACTTTATCACAGTATGTGTATGTAATTTCAAAAAAATTGCGCCAGCATTAGTGTTTATGTGTCTGTGTGTGTGTGTTGCACATGCCCGTCATTTCAAAGGGAACGCGATTGCAACGCTAAAGTACATAAATGTATCAAATAACCATACCGAGACGTACTGGTCCATTCTCATTTGTTTATTTATTCTGCCGGAGTCTCTTCGTGCTATTTATAGAATCCGATTCAAACGTACGCTGTATGACATTCAAAACAGCGCGTCTCTCACTCTCTCAGCCCTTCTGCTTACCGACTGCCATAGGTATCAAGTTACGCCCTCATCCAAAGGCAGGGCGGGGATATGCAGCTCATTTGCATTTAAAGCCGTATACCTCCGAAACAGGTCATTTTTAAGCAGGCCCCAAAATGACATTTTCAAATGGTTATAATAAATTAACTGTGGGGTATTTTGAGCTGAAACTTCACAAATACATTCTAGGGACACCAGAGACCAATATTACATCTTGTAAAAAGGGGCATAATAGGTGCCCTTTAATGCTTAGTTAATATTGCTTCCATATTAGTTAATAGTATTAAGTTCGGTGTTAATGCAGTACTACCTATTACTTCCTGCATAGCTACTTGTTAACTACGGACCATTATTTTAAAGTGTTACCGGATTTTCCCCCAGGAAAACGATGAGGGCCTTCAGGACACACTCTTCTTTCCGTGTGAATGTTTTCAGTCTGTGAAAAAGCATTTGTGATTATTTTTCTTATTTTTAAAATTCGGAGTAATCTGTAATGGAGAATCAGATTTCCCCAAGGATAGCAAAGGACAAGAAAATATAAACAAAACTTAATTTACAAAACTATAAAAGGTTGTATTAATGACTGGACAAAGTATATACATCACAGAAGTATAAAAAAAAATCATTATTCAGATATAAACACTGATGTCTACGTTACCGTTCAAAATAGAATTTTTTTTTAGGTTCACCTCAAAGAGCATACACAGAGAAGTCAAAAATTAAAGATGATTGAATGACTCATAAATGTAAGTACACATTGATGGCCTAAGAAACGAAACAAGCGGTTTGTGTGAGAAAACGAACAGTATTTATATCGTTTTTACCTCGTGTAACACAGCCATGTCAAACTGAACTGACGGCATGGGTGCTTCGGTCTGCGCACGCGCCGGAAGTGATCGCTTGCAAGTCAACGTCACTCATTGTTTACACAGAGATTTCAGAAGTTTTACCTTTCACTAAACATATTTAGATATATCGAAATAATCTTCCATTGCATTGCATGCTCTTTGAGGTGGTGACCATAGACCTGCATTATATGACTGATAGACAACGGTTTGACCGAAAAATATCAAAATTGAAAATACTGTGGAAACAAAGACATCTTGGATGCCCTGCCTTGAGGTAAGCTAAAACACACCAAAAATTAATTTCAAAGTGAACTATCCCTTTAAATCAGCCAGTACTTGTGCACCTTTTACATGCACAATACATGTCACATCATAATCATTTTGAGCTTCAAAATTGGTTTACACTGTATAAACTAAAAAAAGATATTTCTGAGAATAAAAAAAGGCACATGCATTCGGGATGTCATAAGGGTGAGTTGATGCCAATTTTAGTTCTTAATTCTTTTAGTTTTAGTTCAAAATTCTTAATTAGGATAAAATGCAAGTCAATAGCATTAGACGGAATTTACTCAAACATGTCCAACATTAGTAATTCATATTATCTATTATCAATAGAAGAAATTAGAAATTACTTAAATTAATAGAAAATACTTACCATGTAATGTTATAGCAAAGTGTCGTCCTCAATCGTTAAACTTGAAAAAGCTTTTGGTCGTAAGGAGAGAAAAATGTTGTATCATTAGTATTTAACTTAAGTGGTAAAAAATAGTTTGCTACAGGTCAAGTAATTAATTAGTTGTGAAATACTACTATTTTCTACAAAAAAATCATAATTTTAAAGAAAACCCCGATTTGTTTTCCTGCATGAAACACCTCGAGCTAGGCAAATGAAGCTAGCGTTAAGCACAGGCCACAGATCAGGGAATCAGTTAACGTTAATGGGCTGACTCCCTGATCAGCGCCCTGGTTAACTTAATGAACTGATTGAGATTCACCCAATGGCGTTTATCACAGACTTTCAGCATCATGTTGGGCGAAAAAAGTCGATGAATAAGTCAGAGCTAACGTTTCAAAGACAAATAAAAGAACAGACAAAAAATAAAACTAAAATATTGTACTGCAGGAATTCACATTCGAGCATTTTGTCCCGCTCCCCGAGCACTTCCCGCCCAAAGCATTTCCAATTTCTCACACGGCACAGACGGTTATCATTTTTAAACTATTTAATAACTGTTACACAAGTCCCAAGATCCAAACTGAACACATTTTTTATAAAACAAACGAGTTAAGTTAAAGATAACATCATGTTTAACGTTAACTTGCATAGAACTATTCAGTAATGCTAGTTTGCAAACGTACGTTTAAAAATGTGGTTAATTGCGATTTTGTTAGTATTCATGTTCACAAACAACATTTATTAACTCATAAACAACTAAAACAAACGTCCAAAAGTTGCATATTTGAGTATATTAATTAAAAAACAAAACTTCAAACCTACCTTATTCATCCGAGTACGAAAAAGAAAATGGCGGTTGAGCAGAAGTTCCAGACAGGCTCGTGCGTCATGACGTCAGGAAAAAAACGTCTGACTCGAGGGTCCTTAAAGGGAAATTATACTTTGGGTGAAAGCGAGATATCTGAGTGTCTGTGAATTTCTATGCGTTCAAGTTGAATGAGTGTACAATAATCAATTACGATTAGGAAAGCAGAAATACGAATTAAATAGACTCAAATAGTTCTAGTAATCCAACTTACACCCATATTCACTTTTTACAGTGTGGGTTTGAAAGGTGAAGTATGCAAACATTTGGTTTTGCTTGATATACTCAAAGAAAAGGATGATGCATTTCCTGAATTTGCTCTTCAGCTGGAAGCTCATGCAAGAGCTTTACAAAACAATGGTCACTTCAGTATCTGTTCTGAGGTGAAGATAAAAATCGACGTCGAAAGTCTTTGTGGGAGAGGAAGATATCATGCAGATTTGGAAACCTATTCTTGTTCCTGTTGCACATTGTCATATCATTGCATATGTCCCTGCCTTATTTTAGCACAACAGTTGTTTGGCATGACCATTAATGAAAAAATGTGCTGTTCTGTGAATCAATCTGACAATGCTGATGTGTACTTTAAGAAACAAGACACAAGTTTAGACTTCCGGAGACTAGAAGATGTTCTTGCAATTATCAAAAGATGGCAGACTGTTCCAGAGAACATCAAAAGCCAAATAAATGATCTCTATGTTAATGTCCAACAAGAAGACAGAAGTCTTTTGTCAAAAAGGCATTGTACCAATGACACTTCAAGGAAGATACAGCCACTCTTCCCATGCAATGCAAAAAAAAAGAAAAAAGACTTCCAAGGTTTCCAAGAAAACCTGCATTTCTGACACAAATTCAGAAGGGTTTAAAAGAAGAAAGAGGCAACCCAAAAAAAAGTTTAAATTTTTTTTTTAAATTTCTAAACAATACTATTTTCGGAAGAATCTGCAAACCTGTTTTCAATGTGATGTATTTTTTGTACTAAAAAGTAATTCCGTCAATGTAAATTTGATATTTTAGAACTATAATTACAATACCATTGCAATGGGGCTAGATGACATGTGGTATGTTTCTGTTTGTGTTTATAAGGAATTATACGTCATTCATCCAATAAAACATTTTTATTTATTCCACATACTAAAGATGTAAGTTTATGTATTTTACACTGAGCATTTTGATAAAACAAAATTATTAATATAACACAAATATAAGGGTATTTTGGAGAAATAAAAGACCGCTACTGATTCGATTAATTGGGAAAGTTTATGAATCTGTATAAACAAAACATCAAACATAAAAGGTTATTCTCAGATTTAGCAACCTTAACATTTCACAAACAGTTTGGTGCTGCATTTGAGATTGATTCGTTCTCCTTTTATTTTAGACTCTCTGAAATGAAACCTAACACTCCACCCACTGCCTGCGGACCAAATGTGTGGGTTAACAAACTGAAGGCTGATCTAGAATCCAGGCTTGATTGCAAGTTGGCACGTACACTAGCCAGAGTTGTCCTTTAACGAAAAGAAAAAGATGAAACCGTTAATTAAATTACATCAAATATCAGCAACGTACGTAGCTCTGCAATGAGAAAATGTACTGTACCTGGTCACTTCTGCATTGTGGTCACTTATGTCTTTACGTACCAACTTTGGACTGACATTTTGACACAGGCTTTTAGTTAAACCAGTGGCAAGATCTGAAGCCTCTCCCTCTGTTAGTGCACTAAAAATGCTTGTCTTAGTCTTCTTTTTCTTGGGAAGATTGAGTGTAGTACAGTAGTGCATTAGAACTAAAATAAAACTAAAAGAGAGATTAAAACAAATATAAAATACAACTGATAACTAATATAATCGACCGTATCAATTTAAAAATCAACTTACTCCTAGCAGATCTCTGAAAACATTAGAAGACATATTCTCCCCTTCTATTCTGCACTGAATTTCTTCCTTTGTGACAACATACGGGGACTTTCTCTGACCAGTGAGGACTAAGCGTCCAAAAACTTTGATGCCTTTAATGTCGTCTGTGGGGTTATTCAAATGACAATCTCCTCTGTCTCTTGCCTCTATTTCCTCATTTTCAAAACCTGTATCCTTGTCAGTTTCAAAGGTTTCTGGCTGTCTTTCTTCCTTGCGGTCTTGCTTTTTTTCCCTATCTGATGCATCACTGGCCTTTATTTTTTTACCCTTTGATTGTTTTTTTTTTACTTCCACTTTTTCTGTTTTGTGAGTTTCCCTTTTCTCTTCTTCCTCTTGTTTCTTCTCATCCTCTGAAGGTCTTCTTGTGCTTTCCTCTGTCTGCTTACTTTCTCCTTTTTGTAGATGTTCGAACATAGTGTTTCCTTCACCTGCTATTTGAAGCGTCATAATAAACAGCAATGGCATTCTAATCTCAGGACGAATAATCATTACATCTAAAACATTAAACATTAAAATGGGTGTTCAACTACACTTGTACTGGGATACAACATCCTCTATACATCTACAATTTGTGGACTTTACCAACAGTTCGTAAGTCATACATTATAAGGAACAGACCAAAACAAAACTGATTATTAACTAATAATAACTCTTACCTCAGCAAAACATATTTCCAGAAACAAATTGCACAGCACTGGATAACATGCATATAAACATACCCTTATTCAAACGGCCCCTTAAATTTTACAAATATCCTTAAATCTGCTTTGAAATATAGTATGCAACATTAGATACTTGTTTTGATTTTTGTGGGAGTTTCACTGCAGTTTGCACAACTTGCTCTTTTAGCCTGGATTTTATATAGCGTGTTGAATAGCTGTTTGTTCTTGTAATTGAAATTACTTACAAATTACACAGATGCCACATGGTGTTCGTTGACATCTCAAATGGCTGTGTGCACCACATTCCTGACAGCACACCTAAAATTGAAACAATGCTTGATTCTTTGCAATTAATTACAGTATTAAACAGATGCTTCTATGCACCTTATCTTTCATCAGGACACTCCAACACACTGTGCACTTTACTCCTCTATCTGCAGGGGGAAAAAATCATATATTAAAGTTTGTATCAGTCATTTCAGGCCCAAAATGGGCCGAAACATAAATTATCACATTCACCTAATCTTTCCTAACGATCCGCTAGCTGCCCGCCCCATAAGCAAGTCGTCCAAAAACTGCATCTCTGTATGCAGCCTAGGCTCTGAAATCAGCACACAAAACAAATGGGTACACCATCAAGTCATGACAGGGGCGGGTGTTGCTCCGATTTCGCATCCAGCCGTGAATGAGCTCAAAACCTCACAACACCCGCCTCTGTCGGTGATTGGTTGAAACACTGTTTGTTTTGGTTTTGAGCGGTGGTTGTACCCATTTGTTTTGTGTGCAGATCTCAGAGCCTAGGCTGCCTACAGAGACGCGCTTTTTGGACGGCATGCTTGTGGAGCAGGCAGCAAGCGGATCGTTAGAGGAAAGATTAGGTGAATGTGATCATTTATGTTTCTGCCTTTTTTAGGCCTGAAATGACTTATACAACCTTTAATAATCAAAGGATTAGTTCTGTCTTGGCCATGAGATATTAATTCATTTTGTTGAGGTAGTGACATTCTTATTGTCACGAGGTGGCAAGGAAGAGAAGCAATAATTCAAAACCGATCGGTCTGTGCAACGCTGCTTCACATTGAACATGCAAATATGTATTTCTCTCAACTTAGGTCACAATTTCTCATTGCATGGCCAGAACATAAGGGTGTCGTTACTTCAACAAAATTATCTTGTGGTCATGACACATCATGAAGAATGTTAGCAGCCATATCACCCTGTAGCCCAAGACTGGTTGCCCATTAAAGCTAAGCAGGGCTGAGCCTGGTTAGTACCTGGATGGGAGACCTTCTGAGAAAACCAGGTTGCTGCTGGAAGAGGTGTTAGTGAGGCCAGCAGGGGGTGCTCACCCTGTGGTCTGTGTGGGTCCTAACGCCCCAGTAAAGTGATGGGGACACTATGCTGTCAAAAAGAGCACCGTCCTTCGGATGAGACGTTAAACCGAGGTCTTGACTCTCTGTGGTCAAAAAAAATCCCAGGATGTCTTTCGAAAGAGTAGGGGTGTAACCCCGGCATCCTGGCCAAATTTGCCCAGTAGCCTCTGTTCATCATGGCCTCCTAATAATCCCCATATACACCAATTGGCTTCATCACTGTCTCCTCTCCACCAGTAAGCTGGTGTGTGCTGAGCGTTCTGGCGCAATATGGCTGCCGTCGCATCATCCAGGTGGATGCTGCAAATTGGTGGTGGTTGAGGAGATCCCCCCCTCTATGTGAAGCGCTTTGAGTGTCCAGAAAAGCGCTATATAAATGTAACGAATTATTATTATTATTATCACATTCCCACCAATTAATATAAATTAATTAGCCCTTGCCGCTGTCGCTTCTCACATCTGGCTTGCTTAGATGGGAACACTTGATATTCAACATTATTGATCTGCCTGCATTGACACCATTGATTGAGAACTGAACTGAGCTGCATGATGACATAACTGTTTCTCCACAGCTGATAGATAAATTAACTAAATTAAGATTTTTTTTTTCTTCTAGAGCTACAAAATAATTTCAGCCAAAATTATGTTCCCTCTTTTAATGTAAAGCTGCTTTGACACAATCTGCATTGTAAAAAGTGTTATATAAATATAGGTGACTTGACTTGATCTTATATCTCATGGTCATGACCAAACTAATTGAACTGATCATGTCCCCCCAAATTTGTAATTTGTGTTTTGCTTTAGTTTTTATGAAAGTGAGCACCTAAAGAGGAAAACAGAATGTTGCAGAACTGTGCCCTCAGCCGGGGTATATCCACTGAGGCATATCCATCCACGAAACCTTTTCCCTCAAGCAGGGCCTGAGCAAACTAAAATATAAATTAAGTTAAGTGGGCATTGTAAATACTTTATCAGAATGCATAAAAATAAAAGTACATCGACAGATTTGAGAAAATTAGAAAAAAATTACCATTAGCACATGGACCCCACAAGAATGTCCATCCTCTTGTCGTGGGTGGGGCACATCATGCCATGTCCATTTCAGGGCACATCCTTTAGCTTTGGCAAAAGAACTGAAAAAAATAAAGCTTAATTATTTGGTCTTTGGGTAACACTTTATAACAACTTCACGCTATTAATCATTTGTTAAGCATGAGTAAACAGTTAATTCATCATTTATAAAGCATTAATAGACATTAATAAGCAGGTTATAAATACAGCTATAAATGTTTTTTTTCTTTATTTATAATCATATCTATAATGTGTTTAATAATTGTATTTTCATACTTTGTTAATGATCAATTAATCATTTCTAAATCATGTATAGCTTTATTTACAAACCAGTTATTTAAGAGTTGTCAGTCATTCATAAGATCACTTAGAAAGTGTAAGTAAATGTAGTAAATACAGGCTTTGTAGAGCATTTATAAAGGAGATTTAAAGGCGAATCAATCTTCTAAACAGTAAAATGTAACAAATACAACACAGTGATACAGAACATAGAAGTATTTAACAGCCTTTAAATCTCCTTTATAAATGCTTTACTAGGCAAGAATAGTCCTTACTTTAGATGAGCTCACAAACATAGTTAACTGACCACTACTAAATGCAACTACCCGAATTAACCCTGAATTACAGCATAAATACATGTTAATAAAGCATTTATTAACACACCAAGTAACCATTACTATATGTCTAAATGATAAGATGTTTGAATGTACAGTTTATTTATCATTTACTTACATGATTTAAGTAATCTTATGAACCACTGAAAACTCTTAAATAAATTGTTTATAAAAAATGCAATTCTTCATTTAGAAATGATAAATTGATTATTATGAAAATACAATTATTAAACAAATTATAGATATGCTTTTACATCAAGAGGAAAGCATTTATAGCTGTATTTATAAACTGCTTATTAATGTATATTAATACTTCATAAATGATGAATAAACTGTTTACTCATGCTTAACTAATGATTATTAGCGTGGAGTTATTATAAAGTGTTACCGGTCTTGGTTCTGAATGTAGATGTTGTTGTTTTCACATGCTTGGTCATTTAAGGTAATGTTTCACTATTATACTAAAATCCATTAGCAGAATAATATTATTGTGTAGCAGGACTCTAAAAACAAAACACTTTGGCAAGTATCAAGTACTAACTAAATGAAAGTAGACCGGAAGAGGGTATTTTTCATAAATATCTGGCCAGGACATGTCTCAGTTTTGTTGCGTTGTCACTTTTAAGTCGTTAATCTACTACCTCCAATTCTTCAGAATCTCGTTTTTCTTGTCATTGGCTTCACCAAATGGATCCATGTATGTGACTTCTTGTTTTGTGAGGTCACAGAACTACAAAATAAGATCAGATAATTAGGAGATTAAAAAAATCATCTAATACCAACCCTAATGCGTCATTTAAAAAAACAATACAGTTTGCACAAGGTAACAGTCAATTGTAAGAAATATTAGTTCCATTTCAGTCGAGAAAGTCAGAGGGTCGACTGAAAAGTCGACAGAATGGGGATCATGTTAGGGAGCCAATCATCTTTGAGTATCTTTAGAACAAGCCAATGTACATTGGTGTGCGAGATCTGCATCTCACACTCCGCACCACAGCTCGGGTCTAAATACAGAATTAGATGCACGCACCAGTTGCTTTTCGCTTTAGAGCCGAGCTTCATGTTCAGGTCTTCTGAAGAGTGTTGTTATACAACAAGCTAGTGTAGCTGTGCTTCTTCTGGAAGTTTCTCCTGGTGTTGGTGTTTACAGTGCAAGGGCAACGTTGATCGCAAGCTTTTGAGCTCTCAACTGGTGTTCTCACAACACCCAAATGTCTGTTTATGTTGCATGATCGGTATCTCTGGGCGGGCCGTGCTGGTTCTCAGCCCACCGCCAAAATGCCCTTCTTTCCCAAAGTGTATGGAATTTGCAACATGACATCATGACATTTGCGTAAACATACACGGCACTTTCGAGTCAAGTGGCGTGTCATCTATACGCATTTTGAGCTATCTGCATGTATCTGCGTGTATGCGTGTATGTCTACGCCATTAACGTCCGCGTCATTCTGCGTGTCTGTACATGCCGTCAAATATCCGAGCGAAAGGAAGCAAAATGTACATCTACATCTGGGGAGATATGTTTTCCTTTCCTAGGATGGTAAGGGAACAGTCATAAATGCCATTAACCCCAGTGATGGTTAGGTTTAGGGACGTGGTTGAGGTAAGTCATATATTTATATATACAGTAATAACGTTAATTCAACGGCGTTCATAAACACGCTGAAAAGCGATTATGCGTGTTGATAGCACGCCAAAAATGGAAATACGAATTGGCGTGTCATACACACGCTACTTCAAGAGATCAGTCTGGGAATTTAAGTTACTAGCTGGTAGATGGCACCTTTTACTGTCGAAAACTGCCTGAGTGGTTCTTCCTCCCTTGCTACCCTTGAGGGAGGAGCGGTGAAGGATTGTGCCAAGGCCATGCCTTTCCAGGCCAATTTCCCAGGTTGGGTTGTTTGGTGATGCAGTGGAGAGCTGTGCCCAACAATGGAACCTTTCGTGAAAGCCTCCATCCAGGTTGCTAACACAGAGGCAATTTTTTTATAATACCCCGCCCCCAAACTCGGTCTGCAGAATTTGACCTGAATGAAATGTACTTCAGATCTCTAACCTTCCGCACCACAGGCTATCCTGCATGTTGCATTTGAGGGTTTGAAGTATCAGTACAGAGTCCTATCCTTGGGCGGGATGTGGCTTCCGCAGCGTCCCATCCTTCCATGTACAGGGAATGCTTTCCCAGTGGTCCTGTAGGAACAGCAGTGACTTCCCTAGCCTAAAGCCCTGTTCCTTCTCTACTTTAAAATCGCAAGGGGATAAGGAGGCATCTGTCTAGGCACTGGAATGTGGGAGCACTAGTGGCATTTTAAATAAGATCCCCATTCAGTCGACATCGACAACGTCTGACGTTCTCGACTGAAAGGGAACTTCCTGTTTGTGTATGCAACCCACCATTCCCTGAAGGAGGGAACGGAGGACGTAGTCCACTCGCCACTACTGCTGGACCACTGATTCCGGGGCTGCTTGGCTCCTCAGCGAAAAAGCAATTTGTGCGTGCATCTACTTCTGTATTATTATATTATATTATATGCACCGCGGGGGGAGTGTGAGATGCAGATCTTGCACGCCAATGTACATTGGCTTGTTCTAAAAATACTCAAAGATGATTGGCTCCCTAGCGTGATCCTCATTCAGTCAACATCACACAACCAGGACGTTCTATGGCATTTAGTCTGGTAAAAAAAAACAACGTTTAAGTTTTATAAGCTCAAATGGTCGCCTTGCTCTGTTCTGTTATGCATGTTCATAACTCTCCTATTCAAGCGCGTTCATCAAAATTAACAAATCTTTTTCCGAGTCATTAGGTTCATTCAACCAATGAAATGAATGAATTGACTCGAAAAAAGATTTGTCAGGGCTGCCAACTCTCAAGCATTCAGCACGAGACTCTCGCAATTGAGCCAATTCTCATGCTTTCACGACAAATTGACTGTTAGCCATTGGACCTTGAACCGTTTGGTTCCCAGTGAAGTCCATTACATGGAGAAAAATCCTGGAATGTTTTCATCAAAAACCTTAATTTCTTTTCGACTGAAGAAAGAAAGACACATGGACATCTTGGAAGACATGGGGGTGAGTAAATTATCAGCAAAAGTTTTTTTTTTTTTTAAAGTGAACTACTCCTTTCAGTTAGTTTATTTATTTATTTATTTTTTGTTCTGTTTAATACCTCTGCAAATCAATGCATTTTATGTTAATGTATTTTGTTTAGTTTTCATAATGCTTTACTGATGTAGTGCATTAAAGTTTATCTTTCAAAGAGTGTTTGTGTGTTTTGTAGAAATATTTTTTTACTGGGTTTTGTTGAATTAAAATGTTTAACTGTATTTTTAATACATTAAAATATATTATTTTTATATTAAATGGTTTTTGGAAAAAATATATTTTTAATATGTTAATAGTGGGTCCTATAGTGTTCTACTAATACATTATTAATAAGCTGAAATTATATTTAAAATATACTCAGAACGCATTAATGTGAAGCTAAAAATATAATAATGCTGTATTTCTAAAGTCGATTTAAAGTGTATTAAAATACACTTTAAAGAAGTGCTATTATATTACACTAAATGTACTTAAAATGGTTCCATTTTAGCACAATTTAGTATAATAAAATATATTACTATTACCTTAAAATTGAAATTAAATACATATTAAAGTACACTTAATATACTTGAAGTTGTTTCAATTTAGCACATTTAATACATATTTAATACGGTACACTTAAAATACATTAAGTATATCAAAATAAGCACAATTTAAATATATTTCCTTTTCACCTGGGCGGTCAGCCGAGGAAGGTGGGGAGGGAAGATTCAAAATGGACTGATGGTATTTGGGTCGGCACACACGGATGACATCAGAGGCTTGTGATTGGTTGATTAAATGTTGATCCAGGATCAACAAAATATGTTGATCCAGGAACACCTCTTACTTGGCAAAATCACGGTCACCCAGTAGACAGTGTAGCAGTTAACCCTTTGCTTCCTCCTCAGGGACAAATGATACCAGCTGTGTGGCACAGGGAGTTTAAGATTTCTGGATTTATTGGAGAGCCTGGCCAAAGAGACAGATTAACCTTTTCGAGTCTGGCACGCCAAATCAAAAGTGGACTGAGTAAGGGCTACCCGGAGCAAGAGATTGTAGATTCAGTAATTCGAGCCATTACACCAGGTCTTCAATTACGTAGCTACTTAGAAGGGAAGACTGACTTGACCTTACCGATGTTGAGGCGAATTCTTTGTTCCCATTACCAAGAGAAAAACGCCACTGAATTGTACAAGCAACTTACTGCAGAGTCACAACGTGCAAAAGAAACACCCCAAAGTTTCCTTATCCGTGTGCTTGATTTGAGGCAGAAAATTCTCTTTGCATCACAAGAAGACGAGTCGGGTTTGAAATATGACCCAGCACTGGTGCAGAACATGTTTCTTCACATTGTGTTAACAGGTCTACAAAACGATCGTATCCAGAGTGATCTACAACCGTACCTGACAGACACCACGGTCACAGACGAGACACTGTTGGAAAGGCTAAATGTTCCATGCTCCCATGAGGCGGAGAGACAGAGTAAACGAAAAAGTGAAAGCAGCGCCACTGTGAATGTTACTCAGTTAAGTGAACCAACTTTGCATTCAAAAGGCAAGCAAAAGCAGCCAAAATTTGATTTAATGTCCCAGTTGAAAAGTTTAAGTGATAAAGTTAAGCAGATCAAGGAATCGATGCAGCAACCTTCATCTCTGCCGCAACAATGCTGCACTGTCAACAGTGACATCTCAACCTTGAGAACAGCTTGCCAGTCCATCTCAGAGGAGAATCAGGTGCCGCCGACCCAGGTACAGAGGCAGAGTCAAAACGGAGGTGAGCAACGACCATACCCCTTTCGAGTTTCTCATTTCACACCACAACCGCATCAACAATATATGAGTCCAATGTCAGCGCAGTATGGCCAACCAGCCCAGTCATACCCCACAACGCTACAGTCGCAAAATTTCCGGTCCTACCGACAGCCACGTGCCTCAAGGGCAAGACAATGCTTTCATTGCCAGCAAGCCAGATCGATGGACCCGTGCACCCATTGTTATCGATGCAGCAGCAATGACCACTTCCTTGCGGGTTGCAAAGCGAGAGGTACCCAAACACAGCATAGAGTTCAGTTAAACGAGAACGGGTTGCCATCGCGGGACAGGGAGTGACCCAGCACGGAAAATTGTCCCCTCTGCATCCAAATCAACACATTGGAGCACAGCCAGAGATCATCCCCTACGAGTGTCAAGTCAACAAATATTCGTCTGTGACTTCCCTGGTTGGTAAACAATGTTTAGTGACATGTTATCTGAATGGACACAAAACAGAGGCATTGTGGGATACAGGATCGCAAGTGTGCATTGTAGATTGAAAATGGAAAGATCAGTACATACCTGGAGTAAAGGTGAGAGATGTCTCCGAAGTGACAGAGGCCACAGACAACTTGAATCTCATTGCACCAAACGGTTCCAGCATGCCCTATGAAGGATGGGTAGAGATCACATTCTTAAAGGCCAGAAGTTGTCCAAACCAGTTATTGGTTACAATGTAATCGAACAGGTAGTGAAACAAAGTGAAATGAGTGAGCATTGTGATGTGAGCAAAGGACTGTTGAATAAGACTGTTAGGTGTGC